CCTCTTCCCCCCTCCCCCTCTTTCTCCCTCTCCTCTCCTCTCTCTCTCCTCTCTCTTTCTCTCTCTCTCTCTCCTCTCTCTCCTCTCTCTCTCCTCTCTCCCTCTCTCTCTCTCTCATCGCTCTCTCCCTCCCTTCCACCCTATCTCTCTCTCTCTCTCTCTCTCTCTCTCCTCTCTCTCTCTCTCTCTCTCTCTCTCTCGCTCTCTCTCTCTCTCTCTCTCTCTCTCTCTCTCTTCTCTCTCTTCTCTCTCTCTCTCTCTCTCTCTCTCTCTCTATATCTAATTATATATATATATATAATTATTATATCCTATTATATATAATACTCTATACCTCCCTCTCTCTACTCTCCCCCTCCCCCTCTCTCCCTCTCTCCCTCTCTCTCTCTCTCTCTCTCTCTCTCTCTCTCTCTCTCTCTCTCTCTCTCTTCTCTCTCTCTCTCTCTCTCTCTCTCTCTCTCTTTGCTCTCTCTCTCTCTCTCTCTCTCTCTCTCGCTCTTCTCTCTCTCATATACTCATCTAGCTCTCTCTCAATCTCTCCTCTCTCTCTCTCTCTCTCTCTCTCTCTCTCTCTCTCTCCTCTCTCTCTCTCTCTCTCTTCTCTCTCTCTCTCTCTCTCTCTCTCCTCTCTCTTTCCCTCTCTCCCCTCCCTAACTGTCTCCCTCCCCTCTTCTCTCTCTCTCCTCTCTCTCTCTCTCTCTCTCTCTCTCTCTCTCTCTCTCTCTCTCTCTCTCTCTCTCTCTCTCTCTCTCTCTCTCTCTCTCTCTCTCTCTCTCTCTCTCTCTCTCTCTCTCTCTCTCTCTCTCTCTCTCATTTTGAAAAGTTATTTTTATAATTTTTTTTGAATATCCACGTCCAGCTTATTGGCCTCCTTATTTTATGATCAACAGTTGGATAATGATAACCTCACTATTTGGAGTGTCAGCAGATGGTCTCCGTAACCAGTTCTGGGGCCTCGCTACTCACACTTGGTCCAATATCTGAATGTTAGACTTAATTAACCCCTTTGTTCTAGGTGAAGTGACCATCACTTCAGGAAAACAGTTAGGTTGAGGTCTGTGTGAAGTGGACGTGCAGGTTAGGGATAAAATGACCACATGCAAGGTGACGCAAACTTGCTGTCATGAGTGAAGGCCAGGTTGTGGAAAAGACTCTACGTAAGTGCATGAACCTCTTGGAGGCTGATTAGACTCATTTGGTATTTAGAAAGGGGTATTTACATTATTCCTATTGATAAACAAATGTAGAATGTGGAATGTAGTCGAATGTCGAATGTAATGTGTGTAAGCTGTGACCAGAAGAGTGCTGGCTCCAGGGAGGTACATTTCCATGCTACACACTGTATTCCTGGTCGCTGTGAGCAGCGGCACAGATAGCATTATGGAAAATTGAAAATTACGAATAAGTAAGATATATGACACGAATAACCAAATATTCCATATTTCTTTTTTTTTTTACACAGCTATTTACTATCTTCAGAGATGATATAGAGTCGGTGCAAGGAAAATAAGCTATTTTCATCTGGATATAACAAATCAAAAGACAAATATGGACATTGGAAAACAGCAGAAGAGCTAAAGAATGTTTACACAAAATAACTTTGCAAAGGGGAGGGGAGAGAGTCTTGTCATCAATCATGGGTGTTAGCACACAGCCAGACTGCGCGCCATACACCCGTGATGTTGATCAATTACGTAACCCAATGCCTGTATTTTTCGGCACTGTGATTTCAGTGTCGCAACCAGATCCAACAGGTTAAGACTTTTTGCCTCTCCATTGCAATACTGGTATCTCTGTTTCTGCATAAGTAGTTTTTTGCGTCTTTACTCTTTTTACAGGTCTATGTCATTTGATATACTGAATCAAAATGATAACATTCTGTTATTTGTAATTAAAAAAACTTAAAGAACATTGCATTTTTTGTATTTTCTCCAGCACACCCTGTGCTGCTGGTCAGTGGGCAGGAATAGGATCCTGAGCATGGGAATGGTGTGCTCTTCCAGCCATGGTTCATATTTGGTACATTCCACTCATTTTACTTGAAATGATGCAAGAGCCCTTTCCTAAATGCCAACTGAGTTTAATTATCCTCCAAGAGGTTTTTGCTCTCCTGATGAGCCATTCCTATCACTCTTGTTTTCAGATGAATTTTGTATGATGGCATATTCCTGTCACTTGGCCTTCAGCCAAATTATTTCACGACATGATGGTCATGTCACCCAGATCCAAAGGGTTAATGCTTTCAGTAACTGGAAAAGTTTGTTCCCTAAGAATAGTGAAGATTTCTTTCTTTCTCTTTTTCTTTCTCTCTTTCCCAGGATTTATGATATGTACAAAATAGCATTTAGAGTGGAATTCAAGACTTGTAGATATAACAGTATGGAGTTATCATTATTATGTCAGTTTCTTGGGCCTTTGTTGAGACTGCAGGAATAGTGTTCTGTGTCTCCTTATATCATGCATTTCCATTTATATAATAATGTGATATTAAGTCAAATTGTGATGAGTTGATTCTTCTGCACCATTGTTCTATCAGTTCTACAAATGCCAGAAGTTTTTGCATGATGACTTACAATATTTCGATTTTCAAGCATGTTACACTACTGTTTTGTAGCACATATGTTGTAATATCAAAATAAGTGTATTGGAAATTGTGGAAAGAAGTTTTCTAAATGATATTGGTTTTCTGTTCTGTTTTCACATATTTGGAACATTTCACATGTCTATCTAGATGATATCAGGCAGTGGTTGAACTTCTGATACACCATTAGATTTAGATCCAACCTTGTATTCCTTCTTCCCCCTCTTATTCTTTTTGTCAGTGAAGGGGGTAGGGCATCAGTTGCATCTAGAATTTACTCTCCAAGATTTTCCAAGCATGAACATATGGCATGCTGTGTATGTTGCACTGTCTTCAGATATTTTCCATCTACTTATAGAAGGATGACTGAGCAAGATAGTGCGACCTCACTGGTCCCCTCTCTTGGGCGGGGCTCATCCTCTGAGAGGGCAAAGCCTGCTGCTGTGCCTTCCCAAAAGCCCCTTGGAACATGGCTCTCAGTTTGCCTGCGAAGTTTTCTCTTCCCCAGACAGGTTATCAACACTAGTTGGGTATTGAGCCAGAGGAAAGTGCACCTCTTGTAAAGCCAACTTATATGAATTTATTGCATCTTATAAACCTCAGCTGCCATTCTTAAAATGTCCAACTGTTTTGGTAATAAATCATACAAGTCCCACAATCAAAAGATAATGGATGAAATAATGGATAAAATAGTCAACTTTTGATGTTGATGAAATAATGAAACAAGCATCAGACAAAGGCAAAAGTAATAATAAGCTTTGCTAAAACCCTAAACCCAGGCCTCGCTCCTGTTTACGACACTGGAAAAGGAAAATGCATTTTAGTGTTTTTGGTCTTCGTTCGTAAGCCTATCATGATGGGGCCTGAATTTTTTGTGATGTAGTATTATGCAATAGTCTAGACTTTGTGGCTAGGCCTAAGCTGTGTACAGCTGGCCCATCCATTGTGAGTCAGGACATTTATATACGTCATAGGCCATTATGTCCTGACAGTTATAGCCATACCCATCATTGAGGGGTTTAACAGGTATACTTCTATTTTTTTTCTTCTTCTTCTTCTTTTGTCATCATTAGTATCTAAGTGAAGTGAAGCATAAAACAGTTTACCAAGAAACTTGAGATCGGAATGATCGTAAGATGATATTTAGGTACTAGGTGATAGGCAAGCTCTCCCTGTGTGGATTTTTTTTTTTTTTTTTTTTTTTTTTTTTTTTTTTTTTTTTTTTTTTTTTTTTTTTTTTTTTTTTTTACTTATTTCACCAGTGGCCACATTGTCTATTGATGATCTAAACACAAAGTGATGGCTTTTATACATGCAGTGCATGTTACAAATGGATCTTGTAATATTGAATCCTAGATTTGTGGATATGTTATCTTATTGGGAAATTATCTGCTTGGTAAAAGAAGCATATTTAATATAGAAGAAAACTGATATTAAAGAAGTTCTTACAAAAGTTACAAAAGGTAACTCAAGTGAAATGTGTAAGACTGTAATTCTGTATCCTGAGTTATTTGACAATTTGAAGATTCTTGATGGTGTACTGGACAACCTTACAGCTTCCTAGGCTGAAGGAGTTAACCTGAAGAGACAAAGGGCTTTCTCATCTAGGCAAGAGCATCATCACTTGTGAGTAGTGGTAGTTTTGGTGTTTGGTGAGGCATAGCAAATCTGTCCAGGCAACTTCTGTTGGGCTATGTCAAGGAGCTCTTTGTAGGGTGATTACTAGTGAGTGTTTAAAGGAGCTTTTTTCTTGCCTTTGCTTTGTGTGGTTTAATCGCTTCCAGACTTCATCTCTGTCTGTAGTTGTGTGCATAGACGGAAGTAGCAAGATCGAAAGGGAAAAGCAGATAAGGCATAGAAAGTAAGAAGAGGTAAAGGCATAATATAAAGATAACAAGAAAATATAAAAGACAGGAGGAAATAAAATGTATACCCAAAAATCATTCAGATAAAAAAATAAATGGCATTGAGTAGAAGGAGGCAAGGAGGAGTTCATTTTGTGCTGTCCTTTTGGTATTTAGGTTTCTTGTTTGGTTCTTTGTTATACTCAGCCTAGTTTCCTAGTCTGTGTTATTTCTGTTATTGAATCATTATCTCAGCTTATCTGGCTTACAGGTGCATGAAATTTTGTTGACTTAGAGACTTAGAGCTTTGAATAAGAAAATGGCAAAGCCAGTTCAAAGCAAAATGGTTAAATATTCACCTGGTCCTAAAAAAGAAGTCTTTATATAAGATGAAATAAAACTTCTGAGCAGATCTGCATGCATCTCAATATTTGATTGAAGTACTAAGGAACTGTACCTTCATTCATCGTAATATGCAGCTGAAATGTTATTCTGCTTCTGTTCCCTTATATCTATTACATTTGAGTGTGGGAGATACATTGTCCCATAAGCTTTTATGCAACTTTTTATCTGTACTCCAGGATTTTTTAAAGCTGTTGATTGTTTGGTATAAGAAAAGTCTTGATCCATCACTGGCACTAGAAAGGAAATAAAATAACAGAAACTAATGTGTTTGTGCTAATATACACTAACTATGAAGTGAAATATTAAGTGAAAAGTTTGTATTTAAATGCCATATAGTGTCCAGTGTAAACATTGAAATAAAAAAGCACACAGCTACTGAGTAGACAGACCCCTTAAGAGTATTATATACATGATTATACATAGTCCTTTGTATACATTACTGATTTTATATACATTGTTACCTCATGTAATTTCCATCTTCCTATTCTTCTTTTGCTTTTTGTTAGAACCACCACCCCCTGCCACCACAGGTCCAGGTACCAATGATTTGTTTTCTCATTTCCAGGCCAAATGACGTACGACAACGGAAGCGACGGGAGCGCATAGAAGCCACTGCAGCCAAGGTCAAGAACATGGTAGACAAGCAGAGAGCCAACGAACAGTGGCAAGAGAAAAAGAGGTTAATAATGAGGCCCATTTCCCTATGTGTAGCCTTTGTTATGCTTGGTTTGGGCGGAGGCGCTCTTTTCTATCGATACTTTCATGCATAGAGGAATCTAGGAGTATGCATACGGGTACTCAAACAACACCATTGGCTGATATTAGTATTATTATTTATTATTATCTTTTTTTTTCTCTCTCTTTTTTTTTATTTTTTTATTCTTTAATAATATTCTTGGATTCACAGTTGCCTAAGAAATGAAGAATGCATTTAAAAGAAAACTTATCTTTTCTTTTTATAAATCTATTACTATTTAACAGTTATTTTGTTTGTTGAAATTACATTGAAGAATAGTTGATATCCCCTCTGAGAAAGAAATAATAATATTTTCCCATAACTTGTTTTTTATTTAATATTACAGAAAAGTTTCATTGTTAGCTTTGACCCCCCCAAAAATGCAGACATGTATAGAGAAAGTAGAATGAATGAAGAAAGCATGGCAGCTCTAGTGCCAGACATTTATTGATCTTTTCAAGCACTGATTTGAATTTTATTTTGACCTTTTTTTTTTCTCTCTCTCAAAGTAAAGATAAAATCACACATGGTGCACTTCTTGTAACATCACTTGGTTAAGAATGTTAGAGGAAAAATAATAACAGTATTATCCTCTGTGCTTCAGACTTTTTCTTCTGTAATCTTTCAGTTTAATAATGAATTTATAATTTTCTTAATTTTGTCTTATGTATGTTTTTTTTTTATGATTTCATTTGTTATACATTTATATAAAGATTTAACTACTTAGCAAAAGCAATACAGTATTTTGATGAAATATAAGAGACTACAGGACTGGAGATTTAACACAATTGTATTATATGATCATTTATTATTAGGATATCTCATTTTTGTACGTATTTGGTTAGAAGTATGTGTGTGTGTGTGTGTGTGTACGTGTACGTGTGTTCGTGTGTGTGTGTACGTGTGTGTACGTGTGTGTGTGTGTGTGTGTGTGTGTGTGTGTGTACGTGTGTTCATGTGTGTGTACATGTGTACGTGTATGTGTACACGCACACGTACAGGTGTGTGTGTGTGTGTGCAGGTGCATGTAAGTGTGTAAGCTCATGTTGATATTTTTTTGGATGAATGCTTGTATATGAAGTAGGAAAGAGTATTGGCTGTGCCAAAACAGTTAGGCCTACTCTACTAAAATTTTGCTCGCCCAACTTTGTTTTGTCAACCATTATTTCTTCACATTTTTATTTGAATGCATTGTATTATTGTAGATGTTTTATGAATGATTTTCTTTTGAGGCATGATCAAGTACATTTCATTACTTACTAAGAAGAATTGCCCCTATGAATGAAAATTCTCTCTCTCTCTCTCTCTCTCTCTCTCTCTCGCTCTCTCTCTCTCTCTCTCTCTCTCTCTCTCTCTCTCTCTCTCTCTCTCTCTCTCTCTCTCTCTCTCTCTCTCCTCTCTCTCTTCCTCTTCTCTTCTCTTTCCTCTTCTCTTCTCTTCCTCTTCCTCTTTCCTCTTCCTCTCTCTCTCTCTCTCTCTCTCTCTCTCTCTCTCTCTCTCTCTCTCTCTCTCTCTCTCTCTCTCTCTCTCTCTCTCTCTCTCTCTCTCTCTCTCTCTCTCTCTCTCTCTCTCTCTCTTTTCTTGTTTCTGTTATCAGGAAGTGTAGACATTGTATTTGATGTGCCAGAGCCATGCATAGTGACAGTCAAAAGAAGCTTACCTTTGCAACTTTTGTTTTTAGTGTTGTGATGGGAAGCTGATGATATCCAGTGTATGAATGAAAATTTGTCACATAACAAAAGTATAGTGTTGAAAATTCAAACTCCTGTTTTGACACTTTGTAAAAAAAAATGTACACATATAATGTTATTTATTGAATTGGATGAAGTTTCATCATTATTGTCTAAGTGTGCTTTGATTTTATTTTTTTCATCACCCTTTAATGAATCTGGATACGTCAGTCAGTCACATCACCAACACAGTGCTATTACATGATTTGGTGCCTCTTGCATATTAGCCTTTTAGTTCGTGATGCAATGATAGTATCCACCAAATATGTTTTAGATGTCTGTTGAGCAGTAGTGATACAGCAAAAACATGCATTTCCACTTTGTTTAATCATGAGAGAAATAGAATGACATTGACTGCAACTGGGCAGGAGAGAGTGAGTGTACTACTTGCTATGCTTTGTTTGAATCTTTACCGAGAGGCCAACATTATTAGATAATCATTATTTTTCTAGTTCTGATTGTTGATTTTCCCAACATCCTTTTGACTGCAGTGCAGACATAAGGGAGAGGAACATTCTGTTGTATTGATTTTTCAAAGCTTATTTCATAGTTTGCAAAATGTAGTTATGGAAAATCTCAATTTTCTGGCAAAAATGTTATTATTGTCACTTGTATAAGAAAGCTTCATTATTGTAAGTTTTGTGCATGAACATGTGCAAGCATGTTTAGATGTACATTTCCATATTTTGATGCATGTGTAGACATGATTATGCACTTACATGTTTTTGTGTATAGCTGTGGGTTTGTGTCTGTGCATGTAGGTCGTATTCTATTCTTAATTTCCAACTTAGCATCTCCAAGGTAATCATGATCAATGCTATATTAGCTAAGCAAGTAACAATTAGAACTTAGATGTAATTGATATTTATGGTACAGGCAGAAGGGAAACTTTAAAGGGATTCAAAGTATTGCTTGGAATGAACTGTTTTCAGAGTTGCAAGTTGCTCTTAATGATATTGATTGAGTATGAGTAAGAGTGAGAGAGAGTGAGTGACTGTGTCTGTCTGAAATTGTGTTTGTTAGTCTGTCAGTCTCTGTAAAAGCTGGTTATTATTTATAAGGTTTTTCATTAGTTTGTGTTCAATACATAATCATTAGATGCTCTGTGTTATGGTACTGTTGTCTGTGACTTTTTATTAACTTTGTTCCTTCCATTTTTGTTTATCTTATTTTACGTTTGCTTCAGATATTTATCAGTTAGGAGTAGATATGTCCTGGAAAAATTGTTGGGATATCATATGGAGATGAATAGTGTGTTAGTCATTAAATCATAAATTTCAGTCATATCTGGAGAGCCCAAGTTTTGGGAGTTAATTTTATATGAATAACAGAGGAGGTGTTTGTGGATTCTGAGACCAGAGAATCAAATCTCAGTTGCCAGATTTTGAGTACAGCGACAGTTTCTAAGAATGCAACATACCAACATCATGCTACAGATTCCTTTTGTTATTGATATATTTGCACTTTGGTTAATGTTGACAAAGGTTGCCATTTGTTTTCATTTGATGTTTCTGTGCTCTGCTGTTAGTTCATATGCTGTATTACTTCTTTTGCTTATAAGGAGGATTATAATCTCTTGAATTGATTTTGTCAAAAGATAAATGAGCCATACTAATCAGGTACTGCAGAAGGTATGAGTATTTTTGCATCTTTGTGAACTTATATAAACTTGTACAGTTGTAACATCTGTTTAGAGAGTTTTTCGAGATGATGTAGACATTACACAACAAAACTCCAAATAACATTTATATGAATATATGCATATTTATATAGTGTTTGGAAGCCAAATCTCAGGCTTTCATGAAGCAGGGAAAATGGCATAACCTGTTCTGGCTGATGCCTCGAGTCTGGGAGCAGGCACAAAAGTCAAATCACCTGCTTCAGGTAAGCAGGAGGGACCTTTTATCACCTTATCTGACTGGTGCATCAAAGGAAGAAGCATTTTCTGTAACTGGTGTACCGGACAGGTCAAGATTTGTCTGAAACTGTCTGGAAGGAAAGGAGGATGGCACAACCTTCTTATGTTAGGGTGTGCATTTAAGACCTCCAGCTTCAGGGAAGTTTTGCAGTAGTGAAGGCCAGGCCCACTGAATATTAAACTTTTTGCATATGCATGTGTGCATGTCTGTATGTGTGGTATGCATGTGTGAGTCTGTATGAGAGATGAAGAGAGAGATGAGCTAGGTATAAGTTTGATGCACCACTAGCTTAGTGATTTTATTTCTCTTTTGACAGTAGTCAAATGCTACACACTTGGTGGTAGTAACAGATCTTGCTGGAGGCCACTGATGTAGGTACCATGAAATAGGCAGCTACTCCCTTGAGTGTGCCCAAACTTCATAAATCAAATTGTATACTCTATATTAGAAAAACGAAAAAGTCACTGGCTAAAGACATATCTCTGCCAATCATGCTGTTTTGTTCAAGTTAGGATTGATTTAAATGCATGAATTTGGAATGAAATTGTGCTATATCTAAAGATGCAAAATCTGTATGTATGTGTGTGTGTATGAACATACACACAAATACATATACCTGCACACACAGGGATGAACACATGCATGAACACACGCATACTTAGACACACACATACGTTTATGCGCACGCATATGTATATGCACACACATACAAATACGCTTAAACTCATGCACATGCACATACACTCTCGCACACGCACACACAACATACTTATTCTCTCGCACACGCACACACACACACACACACACACACACACACACACACACACACACACACACACACACACACACACACACACACACACACTCTCTCACACTCTCACTCTCTCCTCTTTTCTCTCACACACAATCTCACACACACACAACACCACACACACACACACACACAACACACCACACACTCACATCTCCTCATCTCTCTCTCTCTCTCTCATACTCTCTCTCTCTCTCCTCTTCCTCTCTCTCTCTCTCTCTCTCTCTCTCTCTCTCCTCTTCTGCTCTCTCTCTCTCTTCTCTTCTCTGTTCTCTCTCTTCTCTCTCTCTCTCTCTCTCTTTCTTCTCTCTCTCTTCTCTCTCTCTCTCTCTCTCTCTCTCTTCTCTCTCTCTCTCTCTCTCTCTCTCTCTCCCTCTCTCTCTCTTCTCTCTCTCTCTCTCTTTCTCTCTCTCTCTCTTCTTTCTCTCTCCTCTCTCTCTCTCTCTCTCTCTCTCTCTCTCTCTTCTCTCTCTCTCTCTCTCT